GTCGTAGTTTGCCAAAGTAATTTTAATCTTCCACACATAGCCCAGCTACGCTAGGACCTAGTACCGTCACGTCGCGCCAACGCTAACGCGCCCGCCCACCACCCCCCGGCGCACCAGCCAGCCGGATATATGGACGACGCGGCGTCTAAGTACGGTAGAAGTACGCAGGGCCTTCTCTGTGTATTTGTAATAGAAGGTTGGAAGCCTGGCTGCTCTACGCAACTTCCCTCCTTCTCGCTGTCTCTTATTCTCCACCTTGTATAAGAGCTTACGCCTTAAGCGTCTTAGGCCCAGTTTTAACCCTTCCTTCCATCGAGTTCCAACCGCCTAGCAAAGTATCCGAACGATCCCGAACGATCCCGAACGATCCCGAACGATCCCGAACGATCCCGAACGATCCAAGGGATCCGATCATCTCGACGGATCGCCCGTTTTTTTCTTTCAAGATTTGCAGGGGGTTGCTAGGTCGTCTTCGGAGACAAGAGAGATGAGAGAAGAAGAAGTAAATCGCAGTTTAACTTACTAGCACGAGATGCTCTCTGTCCTTTTCTCCCGGTTTCGTGCTTTATGCTCGCTCGCGTGCACTTTAAGCTCTCTCGCTCGCGAGCGTAAGTAGGCGAAAGCACAGATAAGATAATGAGATAACCTTCGGAGCTTATAAGATCACCGGCCACGCGACGAAACCTTCCAAATCCCAGCGTTAGCCTCGGTCTTAACGACAGATCACGCTATCTTTTGTCGCACACGTAGCTCCTACGCCAGCGCCGCGTCGATTCGCCTTTTTACGTAAAACTCAGCGTTTCCGAGAAGCGAAACAAAGGCCGCTGCGAATTCCAATGTGGATGTAATCAGGGGACGCTAGAAGATAGAGAAATACATCGGCCGATTCGCCATCTGAGCTCAGATCAAACACTCTTACTCGCGCTCCCTCTCCGAGTCTAATCCCATGTAAGCTAATGCCGAGGAATTAAGACTGTGCTCAAATGCGACAATCTTTTACCTCTATTTTCTCGACTCACCTTCGCGGAGGTCGTTATCTACTTTTTTACTCCGAAATTATAAAAAGATTCTCTGGTCCCAAGAACAAATCCGCGGTTTGCGCACGTGTCAAAATGGGGACCGGACGGGTCGCCAGTGTTAAATCGCAGTTTGGGCCTGATATCTTGCGCTCGTTAACAAGAGGAAAGCCTGTAGGATACGGATGGAGGAGGAGAGAGAGAAGGAGCGACGTGGACTGTGAGCCTGTGTGCGCGTAGGAGAATATGAATTATAACAAGAGAGAGAGAGAGAGAGGGAGAGAGGGGGGGAGAAGAGGGGAGATGGAGTTAGAAGTGAAGGAGGAGGGAGAACATTTGAGATAAAGAGTTCGAAAGAGTTGGTACGTTATCTGCGAAGCCCGACATCCGCCGGATCAGTCTGAGATACTAAGGCGCCCACACTTTCCTTCCCTACGACTACGTCACGGCACTGGGTAAAAATTCATCCGGCCAAGTAGGCGCGAGTGCCCTTTCCTTATCCAGGCTCCTATTTACCTCTTTAGCCCATCCAGCACGGCACTTGCGAACCTGGACTGAGGTTCTTCACTTTTAATGGCACGAACACTCGTTTTACCTCGAGGTTCAGCAGGAGGAACAGCATTGGCTGCTACTATACCAAAATCATTGGGCTTCCTAGGTGCTTCGATTTCTCCGAGACACCAAAGCGGTTCTTGGATTAGGGAATTAGGGAATCACTAAGACGCGAGAAACCTTAGGATATTCGATCCCTTGAGCTTGCCTATATTCAGCCTGTCTTTTGACACTGGGAATATTTCGGACTCACCGAATGCTCTACGAATGTCCAATTCCTTCGAGGTGGCTTTTTTCATATTTAAAATTACTATTTCCAACATTTAAAAGTGCGTCCCTGTGCTTATTGATTAAACGGGACTTAAAAGACTCACGACTCACGAGTCACGACTCACTGAGGCATGCCGCCATCTTGGTTGGAAATGAATAAATTGAAATCGTGGACGATTATTTTCTTGTGTGAAAAACGAGGCATGAATTCTGGCAGCGTCGAAGGAGTCCATTATCGCGCGACGGGGTGGTGGGTAGGGGTGTCGAAAAATATGCCCAAACTTTTTATCTTGTATCACACCAACCCCATGGCTCCGGAGCATTCCACGCGTTAGGGGTGGTCTCGCTAATTTATCGTGAAAGAAGTCGAATACGCTTCGTTAGCTCGCTGACGTTAACGCTCCCGCGAGTCTCTCTAGAGGGGATGACTCTCTCCGGCGCCACCACCCCCGGATATCTTAATTTCACAAAACAACCCTCAGCCTGCACGGAGGCTCCTTCGATAGGTACCCCAGGCTGAATGGAATACAGGGGGGCCTGTACCCCTATCGAAGGAAAGAAGATTGTTAGGGTTGGCCAGTTGGGGTTGAAGTGCTACTGGCGGTGGTGGTGGTGGTGGTGGTGGTGGTGGTGGTGGTGGTGGTATCAGTCCTCAAGGGTTGTCTCCCAGAAGTTTATCTTTTTGACGGGTTCTGTCAAAGAAGAGAGATCCGACGGTTCCGTGAGGCTTCCTCCGAAGATATGACCAGGGGCGGCTAGATTTAAAAGGTCGATAACGTCGGACGCTAGACGAAATGAGAAATGTCTTTGCCGTAGGAGCGGTTAAACGAGATGGTCTGATTTTACGGATAAATGGCTGTCCTACGTATTTCCGGTATACTCGGGAGAAGCAGAGGGTAGGAGTGGGAGGATACTTCCGGTGGAGGATCGAACGGCCGGTATTAAGGGTTTCGGGGATGCTGCTAATAAACAGACTACGTAACGGGTTCGCCTGAACTGAATCCCGAGGTAAAAGCCCACCTTGACCAGCTGATCCTGGCACAAAGACGCCGTGAGAAGCAGGGCCCTTAATGAAAACTATACATCCCTGGATTAAGGTAGCCACCGGTCAGCCCCAGACAATCCCGCACGAGACCTGCCTTATGCGGCATAAAACTAGCCACTCCACAGGTACAGGCGTATTAGACGCAACTTGGGTATTAATATCTAATATCGTGCCACCGGCAATATATCCTTTGTCAGTCGTCTTAAAGAGGACTTAACACTTCGCTATACTGGATTACCCTATGGTTTGCGGTTCGAGTTAAACTGTTAAACTGTCAAACTTTTAAACATCCGAGTCACTGGCTGAGTAGTATTTTGAACGGCCCCAACTATTACCCAGGATTTAAAAGTTCGTTTAAAACTTGGATTCCTTGGACAAGAATCAGCATAATTAAAAAGTAATTATTAGTCATATGAAACTGTATTCAGTTATGGTTGTTCGTAAACACTGATATCATTTTGAGTCATTAACATAAATGCGACACATATGGTCGTTTAAGTATATGCGACATGTATTGCGCATCCCATATGTTTACAAATATATCTTCGGCTGTCCACCCTTAGTCCAAGCACCCACATACCAGGTGGCGCCAGTTGAGGTGGAACAGTGGCAACTCCGCCAAAACGAGAGTTCTGTCGGAACCTATCAGAAAGGACGACAGCTTAACGGATACTGTAAAACTTTTGGGGGCGCATAAAATCGAGAAACGCAACCGTAGGTGCTGATCTTTGAGGCGCGTGAAATCAGCAAACGCAACTAGATGCGCGAACGGTTACGGAAATGCGCGACCGGTCAGGCCGCCAGGTTGAAGTATAGAGGGTCGGACTAAGCGCCAGGCAAATAGTGCCGGAAACAGAAAGCAACTGGTCGAGAACGTAGCAGACCGAACCGGAGCTATAAAATCGAAATCCCTTCACCAATTATTATATTGGGAGAGTACTCACCGGAGCTGGTTCGGCTGATCCCCGAAGCCCGAGAACTGCATCCAGGGGACACTCAGTTGCACAACACTGCACCTCAACACTGCACCTCCGAAACACACGCAGAAAATCGATAGGATTTCCTGGATATAGCGAGAGCAACGCGAGAACTACGCAAGCGAGAACTTCCTGTACCGTATAGGAAACGCGGCTAGAAAAACTGTCAACAAACAGCCCGAGAGCGCGAGGCAGATCGAGGCACCCCGATCGGTGTCCCAAGACGAACTGCTTTGACAATAGGCAAATTCGAGAACTAATAATTCTTATTGGTCGGGATCCTTATAGCCGATAACTCTCATCCTTTTCCTTGATTCGTCCCTTCAAACCGAATCGACATCGTTTCTTAGCGAATCGGTACGTAACAACTGTAGATCCTCCATTTGATATTTGATATCTACAGAGAATAACATGCGCGTGCACTATATATATATATATATATATATATATATATATATATATATTGAAGTGTATTTCCTCAAATAAAAACGTTCATGGGGCCAGAGATATAATTTTGCCTTGATGTAAGAGCTTCGGACACACGAGTGGGTCGGAATGCCCTTTGACGGATGAGTACTGGAGTTCGGGGTGGCTGTACTACTGTACCTCCACCCCTGTACTACGGCTCTATTCCCTCGGTTTGGGAGAGGTCTGGGATTACTTGCTGAAGTGGGATAGACTCGAGACTTAAGTCAGGGTTAAACAAGGTTCGTAGCCATTGTGCTGGCTCGGAGCCATTGTCTCCTGGGCTGAGGTGGGATAGACGAGTAGTGGATCTGCATATGCTTAGCACCAGAGTTATACCCAATGTCTTATACCGCTGGGATCTGCTCTACTTGATGGTCCATTCCTCTTCTTTAAGGTTTACCCAGCATCCAAGAGCTAGAACCACGTGATACGATTATCCATGACCTGGTTCATGCTCATTCTTCTCCTCTGTTGATATAGGTAAGAGTCTTCCGGTCCATTGCGTGGTAGAGGCCATCCACAGCATCGTGGAAAATCGTCTGAACAACAGTCGAGAAAACTGGAGACGACCTCACGTGGAAACCGATTCCTACGTCATCATTCCAGCAGCCATGCCGTTTCAGGTAATAGATCATTCACGCTGCATCGATCCCATCGATTTCAGGCTGCTAATCGCTCCCGATTTACCAGGATCTAGTTGGCGAGGCTCTGGTTCGCCTGGGATACCACGCGGATCTCATTCCTAGCGCCAGAGGAAGTATAGTCATCAGAAACTGGAAGCCACTGCCCCTGGAGAAGGTCGCCGATGGTCCATTGCTGACAGTCGGTGATATACTGGCCGAATTAACTACGGTGGCCACCCTGAAGATTCAGGTCTACAGATCCAGACCGCCACCACCGAGTCCTGCGGCCGAGGTCAAGGACAAACTCCTGAGACTCCTTCTGCTGCACAGTCACGCGCTCCTGGTTTCCGCCGGATGTCCTCTCGATGAGGTAAGATCGAACGATCGTTCCCTCCGCGGGTTCTGCTCTGATTTACTGTAAGAGGAGAGAAGGGGAGGAGAAGAGAAATAGACAGAGAGAGAGAGAGAGAGAGAGAGAGAGAGAGAGAGAGAGAGGTTGCGGCCGAGGGAGAGGGGGTGGTCCCAGGGTGTCGGCAACAGCTGTGAAATGTTTATGAAGGCCCGACTAATTTATCACACTCACACAGAGTTACCACGCGTGCTGACTTTATCACACTTGCGCCATGCTTATACACGAGGGAGAGGAATCGATACGCCGCTGAACGGAAACAATGCGATGCGTATAAATCCGAGGAAAAAGACCAGCCGACCGAGCCAGTCGACAGGAAACTAACGCCACAGCCAGGATTAGAGTCGAAGCGCTTGTAAGACGACCACTTAAAAATGTATAAAATGTAAATCTAGCCGGAGAGTGTTTGTCGGCGGTGCGCCTAATCTCATTAAGAAGTCCTCCAGGTTGGTACTTCTTAGTCCTGGTGCTGAGACCGTCGTAATCTTGGCCTCTACTCTTCCGCGCGGTTCGCTAATCCCCACCTTAAATAAATGCTCTTTAGGCTACGAATGACGAGTCGAGAAGCCAGGCTTCCTTTATCAAAGAGTCAGTTCTTTCGTTTCCCAAGGTAATAATCGGCGCCACTCGCTGGGATTCTCGAGGCTTTAGATATGGAGAGGAATCAGGAATTTTGCACTTGATGAACGTTAAACGTTTCTAAGCAGGGCGTAGACGGAGACTGGGAGTCCAGGTTCTCCGGCTAGAGAGAAGGAACGAAGGAACGAAGGAACGAAGGAACGAAGGAAGGCAGGAGATCTCATAGCCATGGCGTGTGATAGGATTACCCTTTACTCAGCCAAATTCGCATCCTTCATCAAAAGCCCCTTTCGATATCGAAGCAGCCCGGACGGGGCATTATCTAAGTGCACCTCTTTGAAGATCGTATGCTACCCACCCCTGGGGCCTTAATACCTCCAGCAGTGGTCTATGATTACCAATTTTCCTCGTAGACGTTCCCCGCCCGGTTAAGAGTAGTCCTCGCGTTAAAACGAGACGTAGAGTTAGAGTGGGATAGGACGCGGGAGCATGCGTGGAGTTATCATGAGAACCGGCTTAACGTTGCTGCTCCGTCTCTGCTGTAGATCAAATATTGAATTCATCTCGAGGCGACAGCGTCGTATCAGTTTAACCCTGCGATTGCGAATTTCCTTTTTTTTTTGTTTTTTGTTTTTTGTCCCCTTGACGAAACTACCTACGGCGTCTATGAAGACGGCGACGCAGGCGGCGACGATCGAGATGAAAATGTTTAAACTGGATCTCAGCCAATTGATTTACGGCTCTCGACGAGGATCAGCTGATGACTGTTGCGTCACGTTCCGGAATAAATACGCGTAAATCAGGCTTAAACGGTGTCTCAGATAAGCTGGCTGGAAGGCCTATTTTGTCGGGCGGTGTTTGCCAAATGATTTCTGAAATCTGGTAGCTGTCAGTGTGCTGAGTGATTAAGAACAGGGCTGTAAAATCTTCCTGAGTGAGAGATGCTATGCGCGCTACCGAGACTCGATCCGAAAGATTACCTCATTAAGTGCCTTCTTGTTATCCCCCCTCTGGCTCTGTTTGTTCTTATAAATCACACTGATAAGAATATACCCACATTCCTACGTTCCTTCCCTCATTCTCATAAAGTCCCGTGCATTCACCGCTGAACTTAATCAGTCAACTTTTCCATAATCTTCAGGCCATCTCCATGAGGAATCATTATCGTTCCAGATGACTCTGTCGTCGCTGTGCAGAGGTGGCAACGATCTCTCGGAGGAGACAAGAAGGAACTTTGAGTCCTGGCTGCAGCAGCACCAGATAGGACTGGGTTTAAATCCTATTATTCCGTCGGTCAATCACCACACCCAGAGTCCGCAACCGGATGGGGCAGGACCAATAGGACCTGGTGGGCCCATAGGACCACCTCATCCAGCGCTTCTACCCTACTCCCATAAAACGCGCATGAGAACCAGCTTCGATCCGGAACTCGAGTTGCCGCGACTTCAGAGATGGTTCAGCGAGAATCAGCATCCGTCGCGGCAGCAGATTCAGCACTACGTGTCGGAATTGAATTCTCTTGAGTCCCGAAGGGGCAGAAAGCCCCTGGACGTGAATAACGTGGTGTACTGGTTCAAGAATGCCAGGGCCGCGCAGAAGAGAGCCGAGACCAGAGGGATCAATGGGTACAGTCCCCCAGGACTCAGTCCTAGGGGAGCTAGCATAGTTAGCGAGGATTGTACGGACGAGGAGGAGGATTCCAGACATCAGGTAAAGCACCCTCAAAAATCTTATCGCTAAACCAGCCCTACGAGCAATCAGCCTATGTATGCAAAGAGACTAGGAGAACGGATCCTGATGGACTCTTGTCATAATTTCCAGTCAACGTCCCCGTCGCCCTGCCCACCCGGAAGTCCACCAGTTGGCCCTTTGTCTCTGACTACTAGACCGGAGGACCAGCAACCGCCATTGACGACGCCCTCCTCCGTAAAACAGGAAGACGGCCGCGTCTCTTCCGGTTCCGACGATGACGAGACGACCCCGACTGGTCCACTGCCTCCAGGATTCTCCTTGGTGCCGAGTCCCATGTTCGGACACAGTATTATGTACATGTCCCATTATCTGCCACCTCGAGGTCCCACAGGATGTCCCACCAGCATGCTTGACGAAAGGAGGAAGAGGAACAGGACCTTCATTGATCCCGTGACGGAAGTACCCAGGCTGGAGACCTGGTTCACTCATAATACTCATCCCAGCCACGCGGTAAGTTTTAATAATCTAATCAGTAGTGCGAGCGCTTATCTAAATTTTAATTAATTATATCCTTTCGACTGTTCGCAGCTGATTCTGAAATACACGGAGGAATTAAACAGGATGCCCTATCGTCAGAAGTTCCCGCGGCTCGAGCCAAAGAATGTGCAATTTTGGTTCAAGAATCGTCGCGCCAAATGCAAGCGTCTGAAGATGGCGCTCTTCGAGGGCGAATCGCCCCAGCCTCATCCATATCACGCTGATTAGATATTCCCACGATGTCCTCGTGTAATATAATATACATACAACGTAATAGAGTACATTTAGAATGAACGGATGGAAGAACGATGCCAAGAGAGAAAGAAGAGAAAAGATAAAGAGCGACAATGTGGTGTCGCTGTTTCGTAAAAATCCTTTCTTAATCGATATGCAATGTCTTTGTTATGTCTTTATTTCTTTCCCCTTCTTCTTTTTTTCCCTTCCCCCCCCCTCCTCACCCCTCCATTCCTTCGCCCCTACCCCGACCCTTCATTGTAATTATCATATCTCTTATAATATAATTATGAATATCAGTGTAAATACGAGAATATCGAATAAACTGTACGCTATATGCTATGAGCCCAAGCTCTTCTGGTCTACTGTCGAATGTGTCACGTGGTACCCAGTTATCAGCAGGAGCTCTCGATACCAGGAGACGATTCAGCCAGGTTCCTCCAGTCATCCGAGGAAAGACGGTTGCTTCCACCAGAATTCTATAGCTCCGTTCGGGACTTCTTCGTAACAGAGGGCACGGTGCGTCAACTGCGAGTATCGAGCAGCACCGTGCAGATTGGTATAGCTTCTTCTCCATATAGGCCGCTTCTGTAGACTATAGGCACAGGATGTTCAGAGTCTTCGGCATAGATTGTACTACCCTAATGTTGCTGAATGCATGATGTGCGCCAGTATAGTAGAAACGAGCGAAATCTATCGACTAAGATAAGACTACTCTCGCGAGGCTGTCACGACGAGTCAACCCTAACTCAAGCTGCACAATAGTCAATGGATCATTGTCTAAGCAGCCGGAGGCTCCGGTGTTATAGGCGCCTATCACAATGTTTAGGTATTCTCTGTCTTGTGGCTCGCTCCGTGAAATTCTCTAGCTCCAAGTGTAAAGACGCCTCGCGAAGTTCATTCAAGTTTTTTCACTGTATTCCGTATGAATTGGATCTGAGAGATCTGAGCTCTGGCTGTGCTGGCTAATGAGCCGGCAATTCTCTGAAACTTTGAAACGTTCGAAAGAAGGAGCGAGGCGAGCAGAAGGGATGATGATGGGCTGGAGCGAGGAAGGAAGTACAATGTAAGGCAGAAGGACAAGAAGATTAGAGTAAAAAGGGATCTCTCGGCGGGGAAGACAGAGAGGGAGGGAGAGAGAGAGACAGAGGGAGCGAGCGTTGTACGGAGAGAGACCGAGTGGCGCCCAAGGATCATTCCGGGCTGGGAAGAGGATTCCTGGCATCCAAGATTTTCAATTCCACGTAAGTAGGAATAACACAAAGATGAGAGGATATCATCATTTATGATACACTCATACATAACGGGAAACTCAGGCAGAGCGACGAGGAGAATGAAGGTCCTGGATTTAATGAGGATAGGCGGATTTGTCCAATTAAAACGTCTTACAAGGATCCATCCAACCGTCCGCTCATCCGCAAAACATCAAATCTAACTTCACTTAATACTACCTCCGACTCCCTTATCTTTCCTCTCTCGCAAGTATTATCAATTTATCAGCGCGCCGCTTTCACGGAGTCTCAGGAAATCCGTGACCTCCAAGCAAGTGCCAATAAAAATTTGGTTAAAAATTTCATAAATTTAGCTCCAACTCGTTCACGAGAGCTGCAAAAAGGTGTGACGTTTATTTAGCCTGTCTCCGCGCAATCTTGAAATTTAATTCCTAGATTGGAGCAAGTAGAGAGAAAAAAATGGCAGCAAAGACCAAGGCCGTACTAAGCGCTAAGCACCCTAAGAAAATTGGGCGCGCGCGAGAGGGTGGAAAAATCGAGAGGAACAGGGAAACGGGACTGAGAGTGAGTGCGAGTGAAATGGAACGAAGGTGAGGGGAGAGGCTTATGAAAATATAAAAGTCAGCAGCCTCCGGATCATCCCTCTATCTGATCTTAATTTGTCACTCGGAGTCTGGCTTAATTTAACGGCCTTTCACCGGTAAATCGTTATGAAACACTCCCGCCCCGAGCTTTGGCTTCTTTGGCTTAATCGATTCCATGCCGGGGAGAATAATTCTCAAGGTCATTAAAATCCACGAAGGCGTGCGTGTCACTTCCGTCGCCACCCTTCCTCTCTCTCCCCCAGTCAGCGCTATATCGATGTCCCCGATTCCCTCGAGTCGCCAAGAGAAATTCCAAAAGGATCCTGGATACTTTCCGCATACTTTGCAGCTCGAACCGCAGGACTCCAGGAGAGGAGTGTACACGTGGAAGGCAGTGGGAAAGAGCAGCATTGTCTCCGCTCGCATTCAGAGAACGTTCTTATCTGCCTATCCGGAGAGCTGTCAGCAAAGTTCCTGAATGCCGGCTGAGAGGGGAGCAGCGAGAGAAACGAGGAGACGGCCAGAGGGGCAGGGAGAGAGGGAAGAGTGCAGCTCTCCTATCTCTTGACTAGGATATGCCTAACTATTCTGCCTCCACGATGCTGCCGGACGTTTCGTCAGCGATAATGTACAGGACGTTTCACAAGTTCCGGCGATTCGGCTAAGGGATGTTAAGAGCGAACGATTAAGTGGGTCGAAGGGGGAGCTGAAGCAGGGGGGTAAAGGGGGGGTAAAGGTGGAGGTATTTGACGAAGAGGAGGAAGAAAAGAAATATCTAATGTATAAGGGCTAAGGGATGGAAGAGTGGAAAGTCGGTGGG